GGAGCATACAGTGTACGTGAGCCTGCATACATCCGCCATGAACTCTGAAGCTACTGCTTCCCGTGCAGTCGCGGTCTAAACTCTTATTTCTGCAGCTATTTAGGCCCTTGGATAGCCTTGAGGTGCAATTTTTCTGAAGGCAATCTACTTACTTTTGCACGCGACGGATGAAATGCAAATCTCTGGTTGCGCAGTCGTCATGCAGCTTTCGCCTTTTACGGCTCTCCTAAACCGCATCCGTTTGCCGTGGCCGCATGTCGCTGAGCATGCACTCCAATTTGTTATCATTGTAGGACAGCCTGTAAACAACGACAAATATGTGAAGATATGCATCATTCCTACTATGTAATCAAATGAATAAGCCTCGTACAGTAACCATGCGCATGATCAGGAGAGTTGAGAACATCGAGAAAACAATTAAATGAACATACACTTCAGATTGTTGGGTGGGGTAGCTGGCACGCTTATAAGGATACTGGGACAACAAAAACTGCAAGCATCGAATGCCGGAGCCCAATGGGGCTAGAGAGGATGACAAACAAAGAAACACAAAAGAAAACAGAACATAGCGGGTTCACGACTATTTGGGATATCCAGAGGAACAAACTCGCAACAAAGCAGCAGTGAGGCAGACACAACAATTTCGAGAAACCATACAGCAACAGAGAGTCACATGACAGCCATCGAAGGGTGGAGCCATAGAATAGCAACAGCTTCTCAATGCAACACGGGTATCTCCTGTGAAAGATTTTGTGCAGAGAGGAGCGCAAACAGCTGGAGCTTGTGGTTGAGCTCTGCTTGTTATCTATATGTGTAATTTGTTTGGGGTAGGCTTATTACCTTTTGGATCGTCGTTAACAGCACTTTGCAGCCTGAGAGTGTTGCCGGGGAAATAGTTATGCGGGGTCGAATATTTTTTTGCAACGCCTTTGATCACCTCTATCCCTCTCACCAGATGTTCTGCTGGGATGGAACGATCGATAGAAGGATTTGCCTCGGCTGCCTTTTCTGCAAACACCAGGAGAAATGCACAGCTCAACAGAAGTGATAGTGAAAATATGCACGCAGAAGTGCCCTGGCACAGGAATAGAACGATCAAAAAGGATATGAACCATAGCAAGACAAGTGAACTGAACGGCAACAACACCACGGTGACTGGTAGCCACGGACACTCTGCTTTCTTCATTGTATTATATGCGCTCGTTTACAGCAGAGTCTCTCCTTCAGCATTGCTTATGGTCTACCCCAACAGAAACTTTTTGTTTCCTCAGTGAATGGTTCCTTTGTATTTACACTTTAATTTATTTGTTTAAATAAAGAAGCCTTTTTGCTGCTTTGCGGCGTTTATTTATTCATGTTTTCTTTTCTTACCTTCAGCGGAGATGTAGTCTCGAGGAGTGAGTTCGGGTAGAGGTGGCTGCTTGAACTCGCTCTGTTCTGTACGCCAACAGAAGCAAAAGGGTAGCAAAGGCAAACGTTTAAAAAGGCAGCAAATATACATGATGAGAGCAATTGGAAGAAACAAAGAGAAAGGCAACAGCAGCAGAAGTACGCGCACAAAATAATGAATGAAGAATATGCAAAGAAAAAGACGAGGTTAAGTGGAATACAAACAACCAAACACCAAAACACAACGCAGAGTGAAATAAAAAGAATAATGAAGCGAAGAATGATAAATGCCAGGAGGAAAAAAAGAATCGATGTAGTTAGAACGAGGAGATATAGGAGAGAGAAGCAAAAGAGATAACGAAATAACAGACAAAGCTACAAAGGCCCAAACGATGGAGTTCATATGTTGTGGAGCTATCTTTCATGTTGAATTCAGTAAACAAATTTCTTTTATTCGGATATATATAATAAGCAATGACATTAGCAATAACAGCTTATTTGCGTATAAACGAAGAAACATGAAATATATCATTAATTTATAATCACTTTAACTTGACACCAATTGCATTTACAACAACTGCACCCCCCAAAATTAT